TGAGCGAGAGAAGAGAGAGAGAGGTGAAAGAGAAGGAGAAGGTGAGGGAGAGGAGAGGGAGAGGGAGAGGGAGAGGGAGAGAAGGTGAAGAAGAGGAAAAGGCGAGAGGTGAGGTAAGAGGTAGAAGGGAGGAGGGAGAGGGAGAGGAAGAGGGAGAGGGAGAGGGAGAGGGGGAGGGAGAAGGGAGAGGGAGATGGAGAGGAGAGGAGAGGGAGAGGGAGAGGGAGAGGGAGAGGGGAAAAGGGAGAGGGAGAGGAGCAGGGACCGAGGGGGGAAGGGAAGAGGGATACAAGAGGGAGGAGAGAGAGGAAGCAGGAAAGGAGAGAAGCGGAGAAGGGAGAGGGATTAACAGTCAACAAATCCATGTTTAACCCTCTTCTTGAGGGTCAAAAGGTTATCAGACACTTACTCTTCGCACGTCAGTGGAAAGCACATTTCATGGTCCTTTCAATAATGTGATAAAAATAGGTCAGCGCTGAAAAAAAAAGTTTTCACTCTGTCCATTAGGCCATGTCCTCAGAAAATGTCTGATATCTGACCTTTCCCCCACTGCCCTTTGACCTGTCTCAAATTTCGCACTGGTGATGGGTTTCCTCCCCATCACACTATACACCGAATATTAAGAGCATAGGTCGAGCCGTTCAGATTTGTGCCGCAATTCCGTATTTCCTCCTATACCTTAAGGGGGGAAATATTCCCCCTCCGTTAAAACATCTTGACCTTTGATCTTTGACCCCCAAATTGGTCACCCCGAGTCCTTTTCACGATCCCCCCCCAACGTCCCGAATATCGTGACCGTACGTCGAGCGGTTAAGATTTGTGCCCAACTGTTGACGGACGGACGCACGGACACACGAACGAACATATACGGACGCTCATGCGATTCTACAAGCTGCATCTGACTAATTCGTCCGATGAGCTAAAAATCTGTCTGTTTAGCTGGAAGACTTTCGTATCGAAGTTGGGTTCATTTTTACGCCTTCCTTGCGAGCTAGCCGGATGTCGAGTAGCTCATGCTGTTTCCATAACGCACCACGTAGCAATATTGCCACCAAAACAGGCATGAGAGCAAGACAACCTCTCCGATCAATAGGTAATGACGTGTAAAACAAGCAGCCGAAAGCGAGCACGTTGTAGATTGTCATCGTATATACCTCATTAACCGCATGGTTATTCAACGTAATCATTATCAATGACCGAGCTCCGAATCGAATCCCTGACATCATCGCATACACCGCAGACGCGCTATACAGCCGACTAATGAATAAATAACACAATATTATTGTGAAAAGCGATCGATAGTGTCTACGAAGGGCTTCGGCGTGGAGATGCACCACGGGTCTCCCTCCTCCTCATCCATCTCGCAGCATCCTCTCTGCAGCCAGACATTGCAGCAGTCGGCAGCAGGTAACACGATTATACGCAACCAGTCCTCCGCGCTGTACTACTCTACGATATTTACCAGCGACGAATACAATCGCACCGACTACAGAAGGGCATTAGGACAACCGATTGAGTCACTCTCTCAGCTCCACGTGCTCTCAGGTCACGACCACAATATCAGCTCTACTCGCACTGTCGCACATACTCGCAATATTCGCACATATCGTCGCTATATTAATATAGCCAACTCTATTGTCAACGCGTTCACAAAAAAAGTGCTTTGGTTAACATAAAACGTTTTCAACATTCTCGCTATACTGCTACCTGCTGCAGTAGTGAAGGTTGAAAGGGGGCAACGGGAAAACTCTTTCAAACGTCACGCGCAACGCCGAGTTCAAACAACTTTAATCGAGAACACGAGTCGGTGGTTTTCTAGCCGCAGCGTGTGAAACTACACTCGCACACAAGACGCATACGCCGCAAAGTCAAGCGCGGCTGAGATGAGTTTGCGTAAAAACCATCAATCACTAAACCGATCGATTGTTTCACATTGCAGACGGTGTGATTGATTACGTGGAATGCAGCGCACAGTGCGAACACCGCCTTTTAAAAAAATCGTGTAAGCATTTACACGATACAGGAAAATTCATGTTTCAACTAGAAAGGGCAGTTGTCGCCAACTACATGTATCCCCCGTGTTCTCCCCGAGATGTGTAAGTATACGAGTTTGGTCGCGCTAGGTGAATTAGGGGCCGAGTTATAGAGCGGAAGAGAAAGATAATGATGAAGGTCAAGGTCAATGTCAAATAAAGGTTGCAGTGACCCGGGATCGGTACGTGACACACCTTCTCCCCAAGATGTGTAAGTATACCAAGTTTGGTAGCGCTAGGTCAATTAGGGGCCGAGTTATAGAGCGGAAGAGAAAGATAATG